TTGGAGGGCTCTATATATGTTTACTTTGTTAGTTAAACGAACATATAAAGCAGGTTTGTAGATTACGCTGCCACACAACATCCTTAAAGAGATTTTATGTGATTAAATGAATGATTTTTATTTGTTGTTCTGTGCATGTATTTGTTTGCTTGTTTGTTTAAGTGAAACAACTTGGTTGTAATTTTGTGAATTACAGAAAACAGTCTGCTCCAAGTGTGCGTTTTAACATAAAACGAACAAACCCACTTTATTTCTGTATTTAAAGAGCTTTTTAAGAATGTCAGTGCATAAGCCTTTAAAATCAAACAATAGGAATGCCAGCAATTCAGAGCTAATGTAAACAAAAACTGTTAGAACCTTCCAAATCTCAGCATAATAAAATAACCTTCAAACATTGATGTTGGCCCTGTATTATTTTCTGTTTGAGTTGAGTGGCAGTTTTCAACATTATAGAGCAAGAGTGGAATTAAGTCATGTTTCTAGTAAAATTTTTGCAAGTATAATATGTTTTAGTATTAAATTCTACTTGTGCATTTAGCAATTAAAATTATTCTTGTAATGATGATGGCGTTAGAAAGGATAGGAAACTGTCAAAGAGGATTTGAAGCTTAATTATCTCTTTGGTAACGAAATGCATAATCTTCCATTACAGCACTTATTTTCTTATGGTAATTGACTCATTTGCTCTCTGGTTATCAATTTAACTTCCCAACCACAAACATCTGTTCTTACATTGTGTTTAATTGGTGTGAATACTATCTACAGAATAGTTAAAAATCCAGAAAATGTTTTAAAGGCATTATTTTGTAATTCACTAAAAGGAAAAGTAAATTAACATTGTGGTGATTTTTTTCCCCCCAGTAGTCTTTGAAAGTCTTGTTTATTAAAAATGAATACTAAAATTATATTAATCAGAATGGATCTTTTAAAATAAGATTTTGCTTTCTTTTCCAGAATTGTTTACTCTGAATTGAGGGAAGCATGAGGAACCTTGATAGCACAATGGTTAAAGTGCTAGGCTACTAATTAAAAGTTTGACAGTTTGAATCCACAAGCCACCATTCCATGGAAGAAATATGTGGCAGTCTGCATCTATAAAGATTCACAGGCTTGCAAACACTGTGGGGACAGTTCTACTCTGACCTATAGGGTTACTGAGTCAGAATGAACTAGACAGCAATGGGTTTTGGTTTCGGGGAGGGGAACCTCAGACCTTTATATTCAAGGCATATGTCATTTCTTGGACATATCTTTTCATAGTGATTTAAGAGTGTATGCTTTGAAGGTACAAAAACATTGGTTATGTATGTTACTATATAAGCTAAAGAAGAAGAGTGAAGATAAATTATGTGTACACACACACAGATACATATAGAGAGAGATATACACATTTGCTTTTTTTCTTTTTAATGGAAGAATAAACCATAAGAAATTTAAATGATTACTTGTAAGGAAAGAAAGAAGCTCTGGTGCCCTAATGGTAAAAATGTAGCCGTCAAGTCAAAAGCAGATGGTTCCATTCTACCAACTATTCTTCAGGTGAAAGATGGGTAGTTTCCTTTCATGCCATTTACAGCCTCCCAAAAAACCTCTGAAGTGTTAGCTATGAGTTGGTTCTGAATCAGTAGCACACAACATCAATAATATAGGGAAAAGACAGGGCCTGGGGTAGGGAAGGATTAGAAAGTAGACTTCTTAAAATTACCTTGTTTTATAGATATTTAAAATCTTACCAAGGATTCAATGAAAATATAAAATAAAATGAAACAGATAGTTATAAATGGTGATCTAATTGGTAGGATTGCCACATAGAAAGTTACTGTCACAGAGTAAAACTACTGTTCCAAGTAACTTAAAAACATTAATTGAACCATTCATCCCCAGTTGGATATACTTTAAAGATTAAAGAAAAAAAAATCAGAAAGCATTCAAGTGCTTCACTTATATTGTTGGTGAAAATGTTGATACTGTTGTTTTGAGACTAAAGGGTGTATCATGTTAGTACCTTTGAGGACAGAGACTTTTGGCTCGAAAGAAAGGGTGTGTAAAATAATAAAGTTCAGCTAATACTTGTAGTCTTAAATTTAATTGAAAATATCTCTGTGAAATTGTGGTGCTTTTTTCCCTTAAGAAAATACTTAATTCTAAGTTCCTCTTCCCCATAAAAAAAGCTAAATAACAAAGTGATATTTAAAAATGGTGACCAGGAGAGACTGAAGATCACTCAAATCATGTGAGAAAGGGCTCAGGAGACATCTAGAAGTTTCAAGATGGGATAATTTGAGTGTCAAAAAGAGTTACAGTGAAAGAGGATTGAAAGAAAACATTTAAATCTGTTAATTTATAATAATATTTTAAAAATATACCTAGGAATCTCCACTGAGGGCAGCTGTTGATAGAACCACCTTACTACTTTGAAGACTAAAAAAAAGGGCAAAGATCTAGGACTTGCCCAACTCTTTCTGCGGTAATGATACTCTTAAGATATTTGCATAATCAATGAGAACATGTATTTAATTATGGATGAAAGGATGAATAAATATTATTTTATGACAACAAAAGAGTATTTCCATTTTTCAACTTCTTATAAGCAGTGATTATCCAGGGCTCAGTCTCTTGGTGAAAGGACGTGGCTCTTCCTGTGAGGTAGTCCTATACAGAAAGAAAGAAGAAGAAAAAAACCTGGCTCAAATTAAGCCTCTACCTTTTACCTCCAGTTTATGAGAAGAATATGCTAAATACAACCATGAGGATACAGTCAAGAAAAGACAGACTGCATGGAACTTTACAGGATAAATGGCTTTATTTCTTTAATCAATGCAAGAGAGAAGTTTTAAAGGAAAAAAAAATAATCCAGACTGTTGAATAAAATTTTAGAAAGTAATTAATACCAGTGCATGGACATTTTGTACCAAATTAAAATGAAAGAAATTAAAAAAAAAAAACCAAAAAAAACACCTATTAGGTAAATATCCCAGCCTTGTTGTCACTGAGTCTATTCCAACTCGTAGCCTACTTGTTGGAAAGAGAAGACCTTTTCTGTAATGTCTTTAAAGCATTAAATCTTTATGAAAACAGACTCCTTCATTTTTCTCCTGTGGAGCAACTGGTAGCTTCAAATCATTGACCTTTTGGTTAGCATCCAGGTGCTTTAATCACTGCATCAGTAGGCATCCTGGATGCTAACTGTATAATTGAGGATTTCAAGGAATTCTTATTAATTGGGGTAGATAAATGTACATTTTGATGATGGTATTGTGGTTGTGTTCAGAGATAGGAGTTGGTGTTCTTTAGAGATGCACACTTGAGAATATTTTTAATAGGATGACTACGATTTCCTGTTAATTTTTATCCATAGAAACCCTATAAAACAGTAAAACTGCATCTTAGAGTTTCTAAGGCTAAAAAATGCTTGGAAGACATTGTCACACCTTTTTCTCACCACCTTTTGATTATCAACTGAACACTTAATCTACTAAGCTACTAAAGATTCATTTTTAAAAAGAGAGTCAGAATCACTTATCAGTAATTTCTCTGGTTTCATCTTTCAGCACAGATTTACATCTTCATCCTTCCCCCCACTCCATTCTCTGTCTTGTCTTCTACTGTTTGCTTACAGTTCTACCTCTTATTTGTGTCCTTACTCTTTGTATACTTAAGTTAGAAAGGTAGGCTGTATTTCTTCCCAAGGTCTGCCCTAGCCATTGCAATAAGAGAAGAAAACGTGTAGAAAAGGAAAGTGGATGAGAAGGGAAGAAATTAAATGGACTACTCTTAGACAACATGATTGCTTACATAGGTAATCCTAGAGGAGCTAAAAGCTTCTACAACTAATGAACGAGTTCATCATTACAAGATGTAAGATCAGTATGCACAAGTCTGTCTTAATCAGGGAGTTCCACCAAAACCTGCCCACCATAGGTAACCCTAATGATGTTTGGCACACAAGTGGCACCACTTTCAGTATCACAGCAACCCCAAGTTATTCTCAGTACAGCAAGCTGACAGGAAACACTGAAAAATGCAAAGGAAGACTTGATATTGTTAAGCTATCAGAGCTTGCCCAAAGTTCAACCCAGTCTCAGTTAAAGTTCCAGAAAGGTAGGCATGTTTTTGCTCAACAGTAGAAAAAGCTAATTTATGTGTTATTGAATAGTTAAGAGCTTTCATTGTTATTTAATAGAATGAACCTATAGTAGACCTTACAGCTTCCTTAGTATTTGAAAATATCAGGAAGACCCCCGTGTGAAGAGTGTTTATATAGGAAATTACACCACTAGGTAGAAGTTGGACTAGGTAATAACCTTCATTGATCCTTTTACTTAAAAGAATCTTTTAAATCTGCAATTTATGTCACTAATTTATGATTCTGGAGCAAAAGGAAAGAAAAATACAGAAATACTCAGGCCTTTTCAGATATACTCCCATCCCAGAAATGTCACTCATTCTTGTCCCATCCTGAAAAACTTCCATGTAATGAAGGATGCTACTAATAGGAATATGTTACACAAGTGAACTGCTTTGTGCCTCTCATGTGGCTTTTTTATTACATTTTCCTTTTTTTGTCACCCATCAGAACTAACTGAAAAGGAGGATTATCAGTCTTCTCAACTGTCTGTAAATTTTAATTGTGGCTTTTCTAAAATACTGTAAATCTTAAGAAAATATTCTTTAAAATTAATGTTCAACAACTTGGCATGTTCCTGTTTTCAGTTTCTTCAACATAGCTGGCTTAGTAATTATACAAGGAGCTAGGGAAACTCAGATTATCTTTGTAATTGTTTTTCTAGTTAATTTCACAAGAAAAACCAATTTTAAAAAAACATTTTGTGCTTTGATTCTAGTTTTGATGTATTTGGTATATGCCTTTGCAGAAATGTATGAAGGTATCAAATAAATAAAAGCTTAATGAATTTTAGTAATTAAAAATTGACATATATAAAGACAGAGCACTCCTATTTTCAGTTTTATTAATATTTTAATTTCTTTCTAATTTAAAGCCCCGCCTGAATTCCTGAAGCAGCCTGCTAATATATATGCTCATGAATCTATGGATATTGTATTTGAGTGTGAAGTGACTGGCAAACCAACTCCAACTGTGAAGTGGGTCAAGAATGGGGATATGGTTATTCCAAGTGATTACTTTAAGATTGTAGTAAGTATTTTTCAAAGGTTATTTTCTCTCTGAAACCTTTAAATGTCATCAACAAGAGATCAATTATCTCACATACACCAATTTATATATTGCAAATGAAGGTAGAAAAATTCACATAGAATGTAATGTCTTCATTAGCTGATTAGAAAGCTGAGCTAGAAATACTTCAGTAATTTATGTATGTAAGATCTTGTAGAAACTCAGTGGCTAAAAGTTCGCTCTTGATTCTTATACAATTATACTGATATACGTACTTGGCTACAGCCACTTTCTGGATTATGATTTTGCTTATATATCTGGACATCTGTGGGCTTCAGTTCTCTATTCAAGGAGCAGAAATTTGTCCTTTGAAGCATGTAAAACTTGTACTTTTGGAAAATCCATTAGACTCATAATACAACTGAGATATTAAACTATGCAAAACTCAAGAGAGCTGGTGGCACAGTGCTACCAGTATGTTCAGCTACTAACCAGAAGATCAGTGGTTCCAGTTCAGCAACTGCTCCACAGAAGAAAGATGGGCAAAAGTCCTGTATTAATGCCCAGGCCCTTAGTTCTAAGTGTTACCAGTATTGGGAAATTGGTATAACAATATAAACATTAAAGGGTCTTCTAAAAATTAAATGTAAAGGTAATTAATGTTAAATATATTTGAGTATTCATCTGTAATTGCTGTCTACTTTCTGTGTATTAATTGCTTTTCTATTACCATCCTTATTTTGTGTCCTAGTAATAGAGTTACCTAGGTTTTAGAAGTAGGAATTGATGTCTTAAGAAGCATGCATGACATTCATAGAAATGATCACAAGTAATTATGGTTGTTAATTTAATGTCTCATTACAAGTTTGCCCTATAAGTAATTCACTCTTAGTAGTACTCTATTTTCTATTTTTGAAATGCATAATCATAGATTATACTAAGTAGTTCGTAAGTATTTAGCATTAACTAAAAAGCAACCTGTTATGATTAACAGGGTTTTTTTACTCATCCATAGCAGTACAGTATTTTTTTATTATTTTTAAAGCAATATTGTACTTTATCGGTAAAAATTTATTAATTTTAACGCAGTATTCATCAGTTGAACAATAAATTTGTATTTTCATTTTCATTTTTCTTTCTCAGAAGGAACATAACCTTCAAGTGTTGGGTCTGGTGAAATCAGATGAAGGATTCTATCAGTGTATCGCTGAGAATGATGTTGGAAATGCACAGGCTGGAGCCCAGCTGATAATCCTTGAACATGGTGAGGAGGGGCTGAAAAAGTCAGATGCAGGAGGAGGGCCAACTCTGAGGAACTAGTCATCTGTCACTCAGGGCTCATAATCAGTGATCACAATCATAATCTTTACAAAGGCTGGTCTGTGGCATAACTAAGAGTAAAAGGGAAAGTATATAAACCATTTCTATGATACAATCTTCTATTTCATTAAAAAAAATTGCTGTCAAGGCACTTAATAGTCTACCAAATGAAAGTCTTTAGAATTTAATCTCACAAATATATTTCTACCCTATCAAGAATAACTGCAAAAGTTGTGGGTTGTTTTATCCTTCCAGTTAAAAAAAAAAGGCAACATGTTTTTTCTAATTATTACCCAAAAGGTGCTTATTATAAAAATTCAGATAATATTTAAATAAATAAATGAAAAAGAGACCAACCACAAATCAGAGACCTCTCTGGAGGTACATTACCGTAATTTGAACCAGGAGAGTTTAATACAAGGATTAACTTACTAAAACAGGGGATTTAAGTAGCAAGAGATTGGCTAGTCAAAAGTAAAGATAATTAAAAGGAGTCAGGTAATCTCCAGTTTAAGACAGGGCTCTCTGTTCCAGTCACTGCTTTGTCATGAGTGAGTTCTGACCTAATTAAAAAACTCTTCTTAAAGTTTTCATTTAAAAAAAGAAAAGTTTGCATTTTAATTGCCTTTTATTATTATCTTTGTAAATCTTGTCTTTATTTTTATTTAAGGGTTAGAAACATTAGATCTGAGAATGACAACATCAGCAGAGTAAATGCTGCAACATTATATGTAGTACCTATTACTGATAATGAGGGAGTTGTGGTTGCCTAGTGGCTGCAATGCCAAAGGCACATGTTTCACATCCACCAGTTGCTCCGAGGGAGAAGAGTGGGCAGCCACCTACCATCAGATTTACTGCCTCTGAAAATCTGCTGAAGGATCAGCAGTGAGTCAGTTCTGACACACAACAACAACAGTAATAACTAATGATACGTTCCAAAAAAACCAAAACAAAAACATACTGAGAGTTGTAAATTTGATGTGTCCTAACTTGAATATGTGTTAAGTTGGGGACTACTTGAAGAGGAATGACAGATGTAAGGAGCAGCCCCTATCCATGTCTGAGATATAGTATCTGAGGAAGAGGACAAACCTTTCCTCCCCAGCCCTGAGGGCTGAAATACGCATTTTGTTAGGCAGACTTGAATGTGGTTTATTGGCTTGTCAAGAAGTTTCTATAGTGCTGGGTAGTGAAACATGATCTGATCAAAGTCTGTTCTCTAGAGTACGAGAAAAAACTTGTCACGGAGAGATATCTAACAAAGTACCTTTCTACCAATTGAGGGAAACGGTGTAGAGGGAAACTGCCTGAAACCTGCATCCTGCAAAGGGATTCCAGTCAGGAAACCCCCTTTCCTCCATGATCCATCTCCGGTGTCCTCTACTGATGAAAGCTGTACACCTTGTGCCAGGTGGCAGAGGAATGAATGTATTTAAAGGGCAAAGCTTCATTTTTGTAAAATAGGCAGTGAAGTTTGATTTTTGAGCTGAGAGGCAAAAAATTGATAACTAGCACGTAATCCTAAATCCTGTCCCATAGGGGTACTGCATATGAACCCATATATACTCACACACTACACACATTCTTGTGCATGTATACACGTATGTGCACTCACTGTTTTAGAACTTTTTTTCCTTGCAGTAGCATTTTCTGCACGTTGTTCCAGGTCAGTAAATACAGATCCACATCAACCTTTTATGTTACTAAATAGCGTGTGTGTGAGTGTGTGTGTATTTCTTATATACTTGTGCTTTGGCTTATATAACAGATATTCCTAGTGGCTGACATTTAAATAGGGAGTTCTGGTGTCTTACCAGTAAAAAGTTGTGCTTCCAACCCAAAGGCAGGTGATTTCAATCCACCAGTTGCTCTGAGGCAAAGATGGGGAGTCTTCTCTTGTTGATTTACGGCCTGTGAAAATTCACTGGAAGGTCAGTTGTGAGCCATTACTGACTTGACAGCACATAATGACAACAACAGCAGCAACATTTAAATTGTCTTCAGTACTGTTTTACTGTTATGAGCAATGCTGGGTTGAATTTTGTAGAATTATTGTATCATGCTAAATTAACAAAAGCTGAGTTAACAAGTAAAGTGTTTTATTATTTTGTCTAATTTTTCAAGAATGTGTGGAAAAAAGATGTCACTACAGAAATTTGATCTAGTATCGCTATCCAATAAGATCAGGCATCAGTATAAGTTCAGGAAGAATTTCTTTGATAATCATGTAACCTGGTCTTGGAAACTAAGAAGAAAAGATGACACTTTCTTTGAATTTTTGCTAAAATCACTCACCCACTCATTACTAAGCTGGAACCAACTCAAAGCTGACCCCCTCCTATCCTTGCATTTCTGAGCTGTAACTTGCACAGAATGAGAATGCCCATCCTTCTCCCAAGGAGTCACTGGTGGGTTTGAACCACCAGTGAAGCACCACCTTTGGGTTACCAGCCCAGATCCCTAAAGACCACCCTATAAGAGCTCCCTTTTTTACTAAAACAGCATATATGATTTTGTATGCTCTCAAAGTGCTTCAGGTATATAGTATACAATTTTGTATACTCTTGAAAATATGCTGCTTGAGAGTACTGTTATAAAAAGACAAAATATTGTTTTCTTAATGTGTTAGGCAGTGATTATGCCATTATTTATTGGATATAATTTAAAAGTCTGTCAGCTCTTCCATCTTGGCAGAATGCTGAGTATTACTACCATAGAAGGCACTTCCTGAGCCATTGAGGTAGGTAGGCTTGTTTACGTGATTTTCCTTAGGAAACTTTGTCGCTATCTTGGAAGTATTTGCATGATGTTGATAGTTATAGAAAAGCTCCAGGTCTTTTGTTCATAGGGTCATTATGAATCATGCTCTATTTATGGCAATCAACAAAAAAACAAGCAGCAAAGACATTATGACATATTTGCATGTGGAATTAGCATTTTAAATATAATCCTAAAAATAGAAATGGTTGCCTAGTCTAGGAATTCCCTAAACTACTCTGATCAGACTTTCCTTTGGAAATATTCTGACGGTATAGTAGTAATGATTATAGCATGTGCTTCTTTTTTTGAGATAGTTTTTATGGACTGGTAAATTTTTTAATAATCTTGTCAAGATTGCATTGATGATGAGTGGATCATAAGAAGGGTAGTATAAGTGTCATATTAATTTTGCTTATTAATTTTTATATTTTAATTTGGATGATGAATATGTTAAAGCTGGAAGAGGAAATATAACAATTATGAGAATTACCCCATCCCTTTCAGGAGTTGCTAGTACAATAAGGATGGTAAGAAATATTCATATACAGTACACAGTTTTAAAACTAGTCGTAATAAGTGTTATTTGTATAGTACAAATAAAACAGTATAGAATTCTAAAGAGAATTCCATATTGTGATTAGAGAAGGTTTTTCATAGAAAATCTCTTTTGTAATAGGCCTTGAATGAAGATTTCCAGGAATTAAAAAGATCTAAACTAGTCGGAAAAGCATTCAAAGGAACAGTGTAGTTAGGTAATCTATAATTCAGTCGGGGTTTTTTAGAGAAAACAGAGAATGGTTGAAGTGGTGTTGTATTACGAGACCACTATGAGATGCTAAGTCCTTATTCCAATGAAAATAAAATGTCCTATTAAGGATATGCCAATGATTCATTTAGATTTTTTTAATTGATATTGTTCATGGTAAAGAAGTCATCTGAGTGACTGGCAGAATGGTAATATCTTTACAAAAATAGGAAAAGGAGGTGAATTGGCACTTTACTATGTAGGATGTAACAAGATTGCAATCATATGTCCACAAGAGGGTGCTGGGTAATCTATAAAATCATTACATCTCTTGTAACCTAAATGCCACCACCTACTTACCTAGGAAGGTATGAATTGCTTCAGCTTTGATAGAGGATGAAAGAAGAGGCCATTGCTGTAAGACTGGATAAGAAGAAATAAATTAAAATTTTATCTGATTGTTAGGCAAAGTATGGAGTAGCATCTTAGGTTGAAATATCTGGAGGCCCCAGATAAAAGGAGAGGTCATACTTGGTTACAAGGGATTTTTCTTGGGTTTCCACAGAATTCTTGGAATTAAGATTGAGGGCAAGGCAACAGACTGAAAAAGCCCATTTCAATGTTATAGAGGTGTAAGATGTGGGTCTTGTTTACTTAAACCTTTCTTTTCTTTCAGCCTCAAACCAAAGGTGAGGCAGGAACTTTCTTAATTTAAAAGCTTGTAGATGGTGATTACAAAGCAGACACCTCTACCTCTTGAGGAGGAACCCTCTGTCATCCAGAACACAGACAAAAACACATTTGTCCTAGAGAAAGGATAGACATCCTGTGGAGTCCAGAATCTTACACCAATACCAAGAAAAGGTCTTGTATAGCAGGAAGGAGTGGAAACTTGCTCTGGCCCACAGGGTCTTCAGTGTGGACCTAAGGAGGGAGAGTGCGGGTTGAGAAGGGACAAGAGATGCAAAGAAGGGAGACAAGACAGATTCTTGATCAAGTCTCATTTGTTAAAGTTTTCCCAGGCTTATATAGGAATTTGCCTGAATATCTTACTTAGGCTGGGTTGCTATGGAAACCCAGCCTCAAGATATCAGTATGCTGCAGGAATGAGGAACACGCCCTAAAACCTTGAATTTACGGAGAATGAGCTAGTGGCAAGCAGTTTCCTTGAGACTGGGTGGAAATTCTGAGCTGAACTTATCTCTAGACATGCCCGGCAGCCCTTTATGGAATCGCATTTAGGAAGCAGTATAAAACAACTTAGGCCTTAAGTCAGGAGCCTCAAAAGTGGCTCTCTACAGAAACTCTTGTCCTATACCAACCACAGATACAAAGAGATAATCCCACCTGTCCTGATTATGAGCCTAAACTGACTAATAAACACAGGTTATCAAGTGCTGGGGGAATGTTCAAGACCATGGATTGTGATCCTATTT